GGCCTCCCACTTGGTCTCAGGTCTCAGCCCATCGGGCCACCACGGTGTCCTTCCATCTCGGGGGGCATCCTCTGTTTCCCCGCCCCGCTGCCTTTCCAAGCGCGATGTCCTTCTGCAGGGACTGGCCTCTCCTGGCGACGTGTGCCGCCACCCTCGCCTCGACGGAGCGCTCTGGCCGCCCTTCTCCCGAGACGGCTCTTTCGGTGTGGTGCTGGCGCTCCACGGTGCTTTCCATGTTCTCTCCCAGCATCGCCTCCAAAAGCCTCGGCTCTTCCTCCGTCTCCCCATCCAGTGTGCAGCTGCCCGTGCGTGGCCATCCATCGCCTGGGCCAGGCACGCTCCGTCCTCAGGGACACCCTTGCTTTCCAACACGGTACCGAGGTGCTGTGCTGCAGCAGACTTGCCTGAGGCTGGCGGCCGCCGGGGTTGTGCGTTTAAGGCCACTTCCTTCTAGGCCTGGCTTCCCTCTGTCTGTCTGTCTGTCTGTTTTTCCCCTGAGAGGTGAAGCTTTAGTTGGGAATAGACCGTAGTAGAACTTCAGTTCTCAGCACCCCGTTTTCAGAAGGCTGTGGGTGACCGTGAAGCCCAAATCCACGTGCAGAGTTCCCGAGGATGGAGCCTCCTGGAATTCCTTCTGACCGCTCCTCGGGGGTATGAATAGTCTTGCTTTCCGGGAGTAGATGTCCCTGTCAGCCGACCAGCCCAGGAGGGCAGGCTCTCTCCTCTCTTTGGGGCGTGGCCTTGATGGGACTCTCCAGTGCTGGGGACAGTGGAGGGGCCACTTAGTCTTGAGTCAGAAGACCCTGGGCGTTCAGTCTTGTAAGCCCTTCTGTCTGACATAGGCCTCCCTGGGCCTGTTGGCACCTCTGTGGTCCCACCTGTCATGTGAAGCGGGGTTCTCTCCCCCCACGTAGGGGTGCCAGCTCCCTTTGTCCCCTGGCTTCACGAGCCTTCCGCCTGAGGACCCTCGGCCGCCAGTGACCACGTGCAGACGGCCTCCCTCGTCCACAGTGTGTCCTCATCTCTGGGCTGTCTCTCCCACTGCAGACCCCAGGGCTGCTCTGACGTCCCACTGCCGGCCGGGCCTCTTCAGTCGCCCCAAACAAGGCCGCGTGGAGCCCCTGAGACTGATCCAGCCTCGCTGAGAGTCACCCACTCAGTCCCCCTGGAATCTGTGCCCGGGTGGCAGTGGCCACATCAGACATGCGTGTCCCACAGCTGGTGCAGCGGCAGGCCCCAGCCTGCCGTGCGCTGCTGTCCCTGTGCACATGGACTCGCCCTCCCCACCGGTGGTCTCTGCCCATAGGGCTTCATCTCGGGGGTCCTTCAGACGCGCCCGTGCTGTACAGCCACGGGTGCCAGCCAGATCCCTCTCAACGACTGACGGACAACGAGGGTGCAGGCCCCAAGTCCACGTTCCCTACTGAGCACAGACGCTATGATTTCCGATCAATTCCAGTGTACCACTTGGGGGCAGCAGCGGCCTTCTGCAGACACGGCCGGAGGCTCCTGGACCAGGTCCAGGCTTTCGCCGGGGCTTCAGCCGGATCCCTGGTCGCCAGCGTGCTGCTCACCGCGCCCGGGAAAATAGAGGTAATTGGGTAGCAGCTGGTCCCCGCGCTGCCTGCAGAAACGGAGACCTGGCCACCGTGCCAGGTGAAGCT